CTTACAGAGACAGTTGTTTCGGCCGGGGTTCGGACGGTTTCGTGTCTGCTGAACTACCATTGCACCACCAAACCTTGCCTTCTCAACGTATTATTCTATTCTATTAATTGGGTTGACCCATAAGTAATTTTTTTCTCGCACGAATTTTTATATGGAAAGGAGAATGTTATAACGGATTTCAACCCAAATCTGTTTCCAAATGCTACTTGATTAGATAATTATATGCTCGCACAAGGTAGTATGGTTGACTCTGCTTTTTTGGCTTCCTATTGTTTTTTTTTGTTTTTTGTCGATTTTTAGTTCTCTTTGAAAGTGAAATTTGAAATGAGTGTTTTTGATAATAACTTTTTGTAGTTAAATACAATTTCAGCGCTCATGCGTTATGGTTAGTAGGTGCTCAATTGTGAACCAGTAGTCCGTTAGTAACTCTACCAGTAGAGGAAGAAGCGACCCAAAAAACTTTGGGATCACTCTAAACACAGAGTCCGCTCAGCAGTGGGCGGCTTGGACGAGTTTTTGCAGACGTGAGCAAGACAGGAGTTCCGCTTGCATTCCGGCAAGAGCCACAAGGAAATCAGCAATGAAGGACGCTCCGCGCAGCGCAGTGAAGAAATCGACAATTCCCGCTTGGAAGCTAATTGCTTTGCGAGTGCCAAGTAATCTTGTTGCAAATGGTTGCATATAATCACGGCTTAGCGTCGTCTCTAGCTCCGTCATCTCGCATTCCAACTGACAAAAGTGGAGTATTCTCTGCGAATACGGACAACCTTGTCAGCTGCACGGGCATTTCTCGGATCGCTTGATCGTGGAAACTGTCTTTAATATAGGCCGTCAAAATTCGGAAGAAGCTCGAAACATGTGATGTGAACAAGGAACGAAGCTTCGTTCGATGGCTTGAAACTGGTTTGAAGGCGATTCAGTAATTAAGAAATTCGGACCTTTATGGACTGTGCATACGCAAGGAACGACTATCTTCGGGAGGGGGGGCGACTGCTGCAGACCCATGCCACCAGGTTTTTTTTAAACTATCCGGCAATTCAAGGTGAAAGTGAGTGCTCAAGTGAGAATGTGGAAGCTCTCGCGGCATGACTATCCTTTCGCCGCATTGCTTTGGCAATAAATGCTCGGTGAATAAGCGTGAGTCTTTCATAAACGCGCATCAGTTCGAGCCAATGGGGGGCATGTAGGTCGCTGTCTGTAATGTCGAAAAACCTGGGGCGAAAAAAAAAAAATTCCCTTCGAATCGCTTTAGCTACTTGACCATTTCTGAGAGACATAGCTTTTCGGCCATGCACTCAACAAACGAAGGTGGCGATTTAGCTTTCTAATTATATTGTAAAGAGAAAGGCTGTCGAGATCGTTAGGCTGCGTTTATACTTTGCGGCAGCGTAGCGTAGCGCTTCCAGCGTACGCCAGCGGCAGTGCCGAAGAGAGGATGCATATCGATCTAGCTTCACCAGCGTTTCTCGAGCGTTTCTCCAGCGGCACCAGCGTTTTGCTAGCGCTTGCAGCGGCAGGGAGTAGAGACTATGTGGCCGTGAGAGACGCGGAATCGACGTGTATTGTAGAGACTATGTGGCCGGCAGATGACGTCTGGAATGATGTTGTATTAGTAGATGATGACTGTGTTCCTGTCAGTAAGATCTGCGGACTGATGTTTGTATTAGTAGAGACTATGTGGCCGTCGTAGACCGCTAGGAAATGTCTGATTTTGTTGTATTGTATGAATGAATACGGCGAGTGGAGAGACGCGCAAGTCGATTGTGTTTTGTTTACCTCTCTAGCTTCCCATATTATCTTCTTATCTCCTCTGCTCGCTGCATTTTAATATCTTAGCTAATTAAATTCTGGTTTCTGGTTGATGTATACTCTCTGTGAGAAACGCTGGCGTGCCGCTAGCGTACGCCAGCGTGCCGCTGGTGACGCTGGTGAAGCTAGATCGATATGCATCCTCTCTTCGGCACTGCCGCTGGCGTACGCTGGAAGCGCTACGCTACGCTGCCGCAAAGTATAAACGCAGCCTAGGCAGCGTTCATACTTCGCGACAGCAGCGGCGATCGTCCAGCTCGCCTCAACACAACTAGATGGACGGATTGAAAAACTTGAATAGCTGCAACAAAAACAACATAAAACTAAACTTGGCACAAAGAAAATTATAGACGATATACCACAGTAATACGAGTTTTAGGGCAGTAAGAAGAAGGAGGTGAAAATTTTAAACCGGGTTCGATATCTTCGGTCTACAGCCTAGTTTATTCAAACTGGCCAACCCCACTTATTAATCAATAACCCCCTCACTGAGAGTACTATTGGGTGGAAGAAAGAGAAAAATCCGCATGAAAATACCTTTCCAACAAGTTTTTCAGTCCGTCCTCCTTAGTTTGTGTTGGGCGAACGGTCCTCCTTCTGGCGATAGCGCCGATCACCCCGCTGCGCTGCTGCGCGACTAAATCGCAAACGCTAGCTTAACGCGCTCCATTTTGAGGCACTGTCCGAAATTGTTTGGAAACAGCATCTCCATGAAAGTAAGAGGACTACCTATGGGTTAAAGGGATTCCTTGTAAAAAAATATAGAACAAAAGCATTCTATGGCAAAAACTTATTCCTCTTCAGCGGCGAAACAATGGAGTGACAAATAAAACGCAAGTCGTCGCCGACTAACGGTGGGCCGAATCATTTATGCTGTAATTTATACTCACAACTTGCTTGACAACGTGGCAGTTAGCTTCAAAGAATGTGAAAGTTAGGACAAAACTGAAAGAGCAGCAGGCTGTCTCAGTGATATTAGAGCACTTGTCCGGAAAGCGTCAGAGTATTCTCGTCCGCTATGGAACGTTTGCCCGCTCGGTTCCACCTAGTGGATATCATTCAGATGTCGTGGGCCATGGCGGCCAACGTGCTTCTTCACCTGTTGCCAGTTGCCTATACATGTGTACCCACTGCTGTGACTACCACGACATCGACAACATCAACAACAAGCACTACTACAACCGTTCGTGAGTTGAAAACTTTTCGACATCTTACTCGAACAATCATCGATTTTCAAAAGGCTCTGTCGCTGGTACGATGTTCTTCTCATTGCATACCTCCGATGGGAAGTATCACTTAGCAGCACAGCGTCCAGTCAATTCAAAGGATAGGAAGAGGTGCTAGGTCTCTAGCAATGCACTAAGTCAAAACAGAATGGAATTTGAGGACTTGAGCGCACTACAGTTTGGACGAAATGTTGTCGCCCTATCGAACACCTTCTCTTCAAGTCGATGATGACCTCTTTGTAGAATGGTGATCTTGGCTTGAATTGCTGTAGAAACAGCAGCGAAGTAATCGCTTAATGTGTTTGTAAGAGGACCCTGGTTGCCTAAGGCTACGTTAAAGTCGCCGACCATGCCTTAAAAGGCACAGTCTTTCTCATAGAACATCTCCAATCCCACATACAATGCTTCGAGTACGGTAAACATGGCGCTGGTGCTTAGGCAAGGAATGCCATTGAGACCAAAATCGTACTACACTTCCTCAAAAACGGTGGTCCGATCCGAATCGCAACTTTTCGAGTAAAGTGATGTTTATGGTCAAGTGCGTGTCGGCAGGAACACCCGTACCGCCCATACCCTGTGATGTCGCATGTACCAGTGAACAGCCCCTTCTCAGTCTCGTAGGGGACGTATAGCAGGCGGTGTCTTCTTGTTCTGTCCGATGACGTCGTAACTGATCTCCCTGGCTTGCTTCATCAGATTTATTAGATGTGAGCTTCCGATGCAAGCGTCTATTCGTTGGAGTAGAGATAGTCGTCTTAATCCCGGGTAGTCTTTCTCGATGTTGGCCCTGAGATTCTTGCTGCCTACTCTGCCTGGTAGATGCGCCAGCATGTGCTGTTCTATGTCACAGCAATCTTTATTGGATAAAGAGATAGTCTCCGACTTCAGTAACCCAACTGAATTCCACTGACTAGCGCCGCAGGCCGAGAGCGGATCCCTTTGGCCGTTTGGCGCGGCACGTGCGTTCTTGGTCAACGCTACCCTGTCGGTCCCTTTCTCAAGTCCAAGAAAACATATCTTCGGTCAGTTCACGTTTCGGCATGTATTACTCATTTATACCCTACTAGCTTCTGACGTGACGACTGACTGAAGTCTGGGTAGCTAGTAAAGTTGCCCCAATATGAATAATAGGCTTTTTCCCTGGAAGGCGACTCCTAGTCGCTTTCTGTATACCAAACTTGGATAAGTTTCAGCGGAAACGAAAGAGCCAAATAGTGCATCTTCTGTATAAACCTGCTTCTCAGAGCAGTATCCGTACCTCTTGTCCCCGACTTATCCTTTAAGGGCAAACTCCGCGACCACGGATGGCTTGTAGTGGAAAGACAAATACGAATGACAAGGTCGTCTTCCGTGACTTGATTAAACAAAATCAGAAAAAAAAGCCGTAGTGGGTGTGCGCATTGTAAAAGCCCGTGCCGACGGCCAGCGCTTATAAAGCGTGCAAACAGAGTTCATGGCGTTGTATGATTCTCATTTGTTATTATCCTAACATATGGGCTGTTTTCTCCTATCATTTCACTCTCACCATTCGGAATAGAGAAAGAAAGGGTTTGTTAGGTAGCAGTCAGCAGTTGCTGGTAGTTGGCATGGGCCTGAGGGTAGCTTATGGCCCAACTGCTCCATTTCGATGGCAACTCCTTCTAAGAAGTTTTTCCTTACGCGGAACGTGCCTTTAAAGTGGTGACTGGCGATTGTCACGTAGCCCTCATCAGCTTGCCGGACTGAAGCCTCGGGTGAAGAGAGGTGTCTTGGCAAAGTGAAAGGCATTGGGTGAGTACCATTGTTGTTTCCTCCGCTGCAGGCTCGGTTTTCGGTCAGTTAGCATGAAGCCTTCACTATGTCTACTAGCTTTTCTTCGTTTCGAATAGTGGTGTTGAGAGACTTAATGGAAGAGTATTGTTCTCATTCCCCTTAGCTCATAGGAAAAAGCTCCAGAAAGGACCACAGTGAAAGAAACATCCAATAATGAAAAAAGATATTCGGAAAAGTATGATCTTTGAGCGTGCTGTACACTACTCTCTCAATCGTCATTGCCACGGAGAGCTCCGCTGCTGTCCACTTTCCAGCAGTGCTCGATTCTACGACGAGCCAGTTCTAACTGTCCAGCAGATGGATACGTCTTCTGCGATGCTGCTCCGGACACGAACGTTAGTAGGCCTTCCATTCAATTGACAAGTCTTATCACTCTCTGGAGTACTCTGTTTTCAGCCGACAACAATGCAAATTGAATTCTTTAATTCAACCGGTTCCGTAGTGCGGACCATTCAAAGAGATGGCACATCCCTTAACGCTCGGGTAAGAGTTCTCACAACATTTCTCAAATTGTATGAGGGCCAATTGCACTTTCCAGATATTTTGTCGAAACGGGATATGGGTAGTGTACTCGTCTCCCAGTCAGCTTACATGGAGTTCTATTGCATACGTATGTGCTTTGATCTACACATGCTTTCTTTCTGTTCACTTTTCAGCACGAAGTAGATTGACTGGTCGCCCTTGGCAAATTCGCTGCCACGAAGCGCGCGTACCCACTTCTTGCTTAACATAATGAGCCCCCATAGCGACGGGCAAAAATGTTCATCCCGTTTCCCTTGCCTCATTTTTCAAAAAACTACCAGGGGGTACCTACTTACGCTGTTCTCGTGAGTGAGGACTCCAAGCCAGCTCTTGGCACAGCCGTTTTTGCTCCTTTCTTTCCTGAAGAGTCACTAGGTTGGGAAATAAAGCCACTATAAATGATAGGCAGACGCATAGCTTTTCCTAAATCATAGGGATAGGAAAGGGACTACCAAACAGTAAGGTGCCTATTGAAAGGCCTTAAGGGCTATCACGATCCACGGGTCATCGACAGGGTGCAATGCATTGTTGGGGGGGGGGGGTCGTTTTTACGCTAGGCGGAGGGGGTCTATTCGTCCAGAGAATTTTTTTTTTTGATAGTTGCTTATTCTTCATCACGCACCAGCTATGAGGAGGGCAGGGTATTTGATCTCTATTGGGAGGGGAGTCATGTTCGCCTTATCAGAGAAATTCGCGAGGTTAGGAAGATATTCCCCGGTTGTTGACTTTGCGATTTTTTTGCTCAGCAGCTCGATCAGAGGGGGAAATCAGGGCAGGGTGGCATTAAGCCACCACTTAGCGGTGAAAGTGGTATGGGCTCGAACGATATCCAACTAATGATTTGCCCTGGTTATGATTAGCTGGAGGCACAACTATAAACCTCCTGTTGTCTAGTGAGTGATCAGTTGTTGTTTTTTCTTTTCATGCAGAATGGTTTCATCTCATCTTTGAACGTAGGGCACGATAATTTGGTACCCACTCAAGCAGGAGCAGGGGTGCTATGTCGTGAAAAAATGAGGAAAAAGTGAAATAAATGGTCAAAAGCTGCGAAAGCCTGTGCTCTGCACTGCACTGCAGAAGATTTTCTGGACGAATCCCCCACTAGCGCTTTGCCAATGACCGCTTTGATAGATGCGGCTATTCATGTCCATGTAGCAACGCTTCATATTAAACGTACTTCATAATTGATACGATTAGAGTAGCGTCGACGTAACAGGGCGTCGGAGTCGGCAGTGCGCCTTGGTTACGTGCACGGTGCCCTTGCCTGTTGGAAGAGGCGCCATGCACCGCCTGTTAAGGGGCACAATATGTATTCTTTCGCGCTAGGCATATCGAAGATGCACCCCTTGTCGATTTATCGTGCCACGTGCTCCTGACCGTGAGGAGCCTACTTTAATCGTGCGTCAAATTTTGTAGTCATTCAGTAGCGAGGCGAAGATGGTGCAATGGCAAGTGGTGCGCTTACCACGAGCGCGGTCCCAAGGTCGAATTGAAAGCGGCTCTCTGCTGCCAATGAAACCTTCTACCCCGAGGACGGTATACTGGCACCACACGTTAGTTAGGATAAGAATACTAACAGACATTGGTTAGCTCCGTTAATGTAAAAGGTAGGAAAGAAGGGGAA